AGGCTGGTGGCGTGTTCGGAAGTCAAATTTGACTCAAATTTAACTCAAATTCGATTTGATCCGTATAGAAGGGTGGCCTAAATCTGGTCAGACTGCTCCCGAACTTCAGCCGACCATGGTTGTTTGGTGGTCGGGGAAGGTCCTGTATGGATGACAGGGAATTTACGTCGACTTGGGAGATAGAGAGAAATCACTGGGTCACTACCCGTACCCAAAGCAGATTTCAAGTTAACGTGTTCGTAGAAATATTCTAAGAAAATCTAGAATTTCACAACCCAACAGTCACGAAACAATTATCCGCTGACCCTTTCTATAGAACCAGCTTTGACCCCAATTTCCGTGAATGTTTTCTGTCCACTTTGCGAACAATCGAGCGATATTTGAGTAAGATTGGGCCGATACAGTCCCACTTCCCCAACACGAACACACACACAGGCTCAACCTAATTATCTGAAAGCAAATACCCTGCGAGATATGTCTCCTGTTAAGTGGTTTGAGGAAAAATTGACCCAACTGGACGCCGGGGCCAAACGACCTGTTTAAACTCTGATTAACGGACACACTACCGGTAGTGAATGGCGTTTACAAACGAGCGTCAGACCGTCGCCTGGCAACGCGGGGTTGGAGCGTTGTCTTAAGAGCTCTCGCTAACCCTTGTGTAGCCCACTCCAGCGCTTGTCACGACACGCAGAGGACAAAACCGCCCGGTGTGGATTGCTTACCGACAAGAGGACGGCATTTGTTCGGGAACAGCCCTACATCCAGGCGGCTAGTTTTCACTGAGAGCCGCGGTCGCTGGTTTTGAATGGTAGGAGAACGGGTGGGCGTGAATATATGGTACGTATTCTGTTAGATTAAGCCAATATATGAGCTGTATTCTTCAAAATAGGCAGTATAGAAGCTAGGATTTCGGACAATTAAGTTTCCGGAATACATTTTAGACAGGAACAGCCCTACATCCAGGCGGCTAGTTTTGACACGGCCCGCGGTCGCTGGTTTTGAATGGTAGGAGGACAGGTGGGCGTGAATATATGGTACGTATTCTAATAGATCAAGTCAATATATAGACTCTAGGATTCAGGACAGTTAAGTTTCCGGAATACATTTTAGACGGGAATAACCCTACATCCAGGCGGCTGGTTTTGACGCGGGCCGCGGTCGCTGGTTTTGAATGGTAGGAGAACAGGTGGGCGTGAATATATGGCACGTATTCTGTTAGATTAAGGCAATATATGAGCTGTATTCTTCAAAATGCGAAATATAGAAGCTAGGATTCAGGACAGTTAAGTTTTCGGAATACATTTTAGACGGGGACAACGCTACATCTAGGCGGCTAGTTTAGTTTACGAGGACAGGTGTGCGTGAATATATGGTACGTATTCTACCAGATTAAGGCAATATATAGATTGTATTCTTCAAAATGCGAACTATAGAATCTAGGATTTAGGACAGTTACGTTTTCGGAATACATTTGAGACAGAAATTTATGGTAAGGTCTTTCCATATGTCACCATATACATATAAATTACCAAGGGATATACTACGTATACTAGTATATGTTAGACTTCTGTGTCTCTGTGTATCTGCGTGCTATATTGGCCATGGAGCACTTAATGTTTATTGTCTGCATTTGATACATTTTATACGTCGAAGGAATGGCGTTTGATAGCATTAAGACAAAACTCAGGAATGCCACAAGCGTTATCGTCTTGGCGACCCTTCCTGCTTTTCTATATAGCTTTGTGGTCTAAATGTTTGGAGTAAACAGTTTTAAAATTCTTTCAAATGCCAGTCAATGGCGAAGTGCGTTTGAACTGGAATGAACCCACTACTGTACAACTAAAAGGTAACTTTATAACGCCGTGGACTGTAGTTCGGTGTAACCTTCTCGGTTCATTCCTACGCTCCGTTGTTTACAAGAGTTTGTGATGGCAGCGTTTTGTTTTGGTGGAAACGCCGTCTACGAGTGTAGCCCTCCATGACAAAACATTCTATATGTGGAGAGCTCAAGCACTGGCTATAGAGGCGATCCCACACACACGGGTGTGTTGTAGTGAAAACACGCAACTGTAAAACGACACCGTGCCGTCTTATGTCGGACTATGCGGTCGTGACAAAACATAGTCCATGGCGCGCACTTTGGCTTTAGGTCGGGTTTGGGTTTAAATGTTATGCCTTTTGAAGTGTAACGGTCATGACGAGCATAAGAGCAAAGTGCGTGGTGGTTGAGCTTATATATAAAGCCATTTCTAAGTCATTGATAGTAGATGGTGGTACGTACCGTCAGTATGATTCTTTAAGTATGAGAAATAGAGTACATCTACAGATACATGCATAGTAGACTGCACATACGTATGTGTATGTGTGAGTAGTGTACAATGTGTGTAGTGAAGGTCGGTGGGACATCGTTTTGTTTTTTTTTCTCCTAAAAAATTTTGGTGTGTTTAGAATTATTTGACACATTATTATTTGACGTTATATAACGTTAGTTTTGTTGTTGTTGTTGATTTGTCTGGGACCAGGTCTATATAAATATAACGTTTTACCATTTATTGTAAAACTCTATTTTGCAATATATTTTTATCTTTTAGTAGCTGAAATAAATTAACTGGGAAAAGTGGAAAATACTAGAAGAAAGCTTAACACACTAGGGTAGGCATGCTAATTTCAAACAGAATACGTAACAGACCTTCGCGTAGGTCTGGTACATATCAGCTGACTACAGGAAATATGTTCTTACCCGGAGGCGGTGTTCTATCGTTCTATTTACCTTACTTTACTCTGCATTACCCCAAAAAACACATGGCATGCCACGTGAGGGAACAGAATATACGCGATTGTCAATGGCTGGTACAAATATTATATATGCAAATAGCTCTGAATGATGCCAAGTATACATAGAGCAAGAATGACCTACTAAAAAGATCCTCGAAAAAAATAGCATAGCTATAGGCTCCTTGTTTGTTATAGGTTGCCATATATGATCTTTGACATGACTTTTTTTTTTCAAAAAAAAAAGTTAAAACTTCCCTTTACGCTATAATATAATCACTACATGTAGACACAAAATGAAAAAAAAGAGGAAGAGAGCTAGGAAAGAAATCACAAAAACTTGCAGGATAACTCTATTGTTTTCTAGTTAAACAGTGCATGAAAAAGAAAGTGCACCACAATCCAAGGGATAAAATCTAGCACGAACGGATGTCCATATAGCCTGCGGGGAGGATCAGACACCATTACTCATAATGGACCCCATGATTGTTTTGCTGGCAATCTGAGCCATCTCTGTTTTCTCTCTTACGTACAGCTTCGGGTGAAAACATACCAGTGAGTAGTAAGTCCCTCCCTTCCGAATTAGTTCCAAAAATTTGCTTCATGTAATTACTACATACAGAAGATTGAATCCGTTAACATATCCTAGTAAAATATGTACGGACATCTGATGACACATTCTGAGCACTGGACTGAGTTCCCTCTGCAAATGGATATATGTATGTTACAGATAAAAATTACAAAAAAAAGTTTAAAAAAATAAGTAAATAAATAACTGCATCTCTAATTTTTGTTTCGTGTTGTCGACACTACTTCATGAAACATATCAATTGTCGAAACAACAGTCCCTTGTGTGCAAAATAATTTTCTTCACAATTTCCTCTTGTTTTACAAGTCATTACTTGTTGCTTTTGCTTCATATACCTACATACTTACTGATTTCTTCGGCCGCGGAAACAATACCTGTAATCATTATTTGAATCATAAGCGTGTTTTGAAACATAGTCACAGAGTTGCTGATTGGTAGTCTGGTGACTACGTTTCGGGAGACCAACAATGTGAACTCCTGTTACAAACATTGTGTGGAAGACAAAACCACAAACATTCACTCCTGAAACTACCAGGAACAGTCGTGACTGTAGAATAAAGACTGCCCCGGTGAGGTCGACTTGGGTATCTGAAGTTGTGCCGCTAGAAATATACGACAAAGAAAATACATTGTATTTTATTCTTGAGATGCTATAGGTTTCTTCACTGGCTCTATGTGAAAACACAGTTAGAATTTTTGGGAACAGCAGACATTTGTACGAGAAAAAAAAAGATTTTTTATCTACCATTAGGCTTGTAAAATAAGTCTTTCTATTCATGTACAAAACAGATTTATTGTTTTAATAATCGCTTGCCGTAAATCAATATACATTGGACTAAGTACACTCACATTTCAGGCAGACAAATTTCTTCGTTATGAAATTTTATGATCCAATAAGCGTTACCATGGTGAAGCAAAACAGTAGTTGATAGTCAAACTGCTTGGCCACAAAAATATGTCCTCAAATGAACACATTAGTACTGTCAAAACACAAACTCAGTAAAACCATAACACTAACAGTCCGAGTCATGTTTTTCTTTACTTTTCACTTAGTCCGTGGAATGAATGTTGCTGTAGCTACTTCGGATTATGAAATATGTACAGAGGCAATAAAATATGTCCTCAAAGGAACTAGTAGCGTCAAAACACAAACTCTAGCAGTCCATGTCATTTTTTGTAGTTTTTTACTTGGTTCGTGGAGTAAGAAAGTTGTTGTAGCTACTGTGGATTATAAAATATGTACAGAGGCAATAAACTAAGTTATTAATGATGTACAACGTTCCTTTTGTGCGCCGCTATTCCGCTGTGTGCTGATCCTTTTAAACGCCTTCCGTGCAAAGTCCGACTTTGCTACCTTCCATGAACCACCCTAGCCTCCTTCGCAGTCTTGTTGGGCGTCGGCGTTATTTTTTCTCTGAGCGACGCGAGTAATATGCGGCCGCGAGGGACGATTTGCTGCCGAGGGAGTTTTTGCCACGGGGAGAAGGTTGTTGGAGCGCGAAACCTTCTCTCCGTGGCAAACACTCCCTCGGCAGCAAATCGTCCCTCGCGGCCGCATATTACTCGCGTCGCTCAGAGAAAAAATAACGCCGACGCCCAACAAGACTGCGAAGGAGGCTAGAACCACCCAGTAGTAAACGTGATCTATTTGACATCTGGGCACCCTGGTTATTAATCACTAACCGGCCCGTTACCTAGCGATGGCGGGGGCCTTTGAAGAACTGTTGCCTTTGTCAATTAACAAACAGGGTGGTGTATGACTAAACAGTTACGGGGAAAAGTTGTGTTTTTCTACCCGTACTTTGTAAAATACACTGGGATTCGAACCCGGGAGTGTTGGTACGTGTGGTGCTCTTTACGCGCTGAAGCACGTGGATAGACTATCGTGTGCGTGTGCCGGGTCATATAAGAACGCCAGTGAACCCTGACGTTAGTTTGAAGAGAAACCCTAGCTGCCTGCAGCAAACGATACCACAGCACCGCCCCCCTCCCCCACGTACAAGTTCACTCCAGGTGACATGACCTGAAAGGTGCGCTGTTGTTGATTCACACCTGCCTCATTGTTTGTCACTCCGCAGGTGAGAGAACTGACATCACGCGGGCCTGACGCCACGGATAGGCCGAGGAATGTAGCGAGGAAACGCGGTCGAAGACACGATGGACACGGGAACTGAGAAGTTGTCTACCTCCCACGGACGGCACGACAGCAAGCTGGCGGGGAAACAGCCCGCAACCGCCGGGCTACTCGTCGCTAACGTCCGGTAACTCCTAACAATTGAATAAGCAGGTGGGCTTAGCACAGGCACTTTGTAATTGTGTTTGCTGACCGAGAAAAATGGCCGGCCTGGAAGATAATAGCAAACAGTCTGATCCCGGCGAAGATTTACAGCCTCAGGCGCAAAATCGCGAGATAATCGTGACAAATTGCGCGCCTGAGACAAAGGAGGTCGACGAACCGCTTTCGCAGGTAACCAGGGAACGGCCGGCGGTGTCACGGTTCGGCCGTCTGTCGGCTTACACCCGGGGCAGCGCTAGCACCGGCACGGTGAGCCACCACTCCACGCGCTCCTGTCCGGCCGCCGTAGAGACGCCGGGGCGAGAGAAGCTCCTAAACAAGCGCCCCAGCAGCGAACACTACTCATGGGGAGTGACTCCCAAGGATGAGGCGGCGAGGAAAGAGACGGAGAAGACCATGTTTTCCGCACTGTCGGAGGAGGCGAAGGCTGCCATGTTGGAAATGCGGAAGGAAATGGAGGAATGCAGGCGACAACTTGACGACGACACAACAATAACACAACCACCTGCAGACAACCCAAGACAAGAAGACGACACGGGGGTAGACCTAGCCGACGAAGAGGACGAACAATTCGAACAGGATAGCGACAAGAGTACGCCTAACGACAATGCAGAAGTCGTGGACTATATTTCTGACTATTCTGAAGACTCGGACTCGCTCCAAGAGGCGATTTTCAGAGACGAGGACCACCGTAGACCAGTCAGCCGCCTGTCCTACACCCACTCTGCGCCTAAACAGAAAACTGTGCCCATGTTGCCTCCTATACAGACTAAAGCCAAAGTCCAGAGACAAAAATCGTATCCAGGCGAGATTCGACATCTCAATAAGTCCTATCCTGGGTCCCGCCCATCCCCAACCGAAAACATGGTCTCCAACCAAACCTACGTACCGGGGGTCGGCCGTTTCCAGGTGAGTGGCAAACATGCTACTTTTTTTTTCTTTCTCTACTTCTTCCTGTGTTTTTCCGCCATATCACAGTTACCATAATAATGTTACGCTATGTCATAATTGGCACGTTGCTAATCGTTACAAATATGCTGTGATCGGCTTGTATATGACTGTGTAGCAAGTATGTTGGACCAGGTGTTTTGGCCCGTCGCTAAGCTGTCTAAAGTCCGTGTGGCGTAAAACTTGTCATTCTGTCGAGAAGGGAAAACCTTTCACAAACATATGCCTCGATGACAAAGAAGCCGCGTGACCTGCATTCACGCCTTACAGTGCGATACCTGTGTAAAAACCCAATCTTATCTGTAAACGTATCTCCCGTAACAGGTGTGAAATTGCGTGAATGGTTCAGTGGCGTTCTTTGGTGCTATTTTTGTCGCCTCAGCTTGCAATAAGACAGAAAAAAGAGCCCGGCTTTTGACTGTCAAGTTTTATGCCTTAACCCTTTATTCCCATCCCTTTATCCTTATCCCTCTATCCCTACTAGAGCTCAGAGACGACCAAGTGGTCCCTGAATCGACTCCGGGGGGTCCTTTATTCCCAAACAATAAAAAAATCATGGCTTCTGTAAAATACGACGCTGTATTGTGTAACCAAACTCTTCAAATGTAGCTAAATCATTTGCAAACGTTCAAATTGCAGTTATCAAGTGGAGTCAATGTTGCTGACTCACCACTCTCTTTGTACTACTTTTACGGTATGAGGTTCTTGTCGCAACTCGTGTATCTTTTATATGTTTGGGTATAGTTTCGAAAGCAAGTGAACCCAGGTGACCCCTTTTTCTGTGGTGTATTCTATTTCGCTCAGGTTTTGAGACCAGCCATTGCAAGAGAGAGGTCGTTCAAGGTCACGGGTCCGGGGTACGACTCGAGATTTCACGACCAAGTCTGGAGAACGGAGGCCGAGAATGGCGACATCGTCCCGAGAGAAGTCAAGAAAATGGCGACTCAGAAATGCAAGGAGTGGCTGAGACGCTGGGTCGTCTCCACTCCTCCTGCGGACACCAGAAAGAGCCTGTCAGACACCATGGACTGATGGGAAGGAATTCGAATCGAAGAAAGAACATGGTGTTCGAATTCAAAATGGCGGACAGTCACAAACTGACAGAACTTGTGGTGCGACTTCTAGATGTCATAAATGATGAGATAAAGGCTTAGGCGAGATCTGATTACTAGTATATTGTCTGTAATGACATATAATTGAACAGGAGTAGGCGAATTGTCTGTGCATATGACAGAATGCAATAATTTTCGAATTTGCAATTCCTCCTAGGATAGCACGTCAGCTGGGCAGCTATTTACTCCACGTCTCTCGGGAACCACTGTGATGTTATCTGACATCTAAAACAAAAGACTATAGAAAAGATAGTAGAAAAATAGTAACCTTATTATGAAAACAACTAACGTTACCTTTGTCAGGTACATTTTTGCTTTCAAGCCATTCGGACAAAATCGGTTTCACGAGAGCAAATTGAACGCACAGAATATGATTTAGTAGAAGTAATATTTTCCGTCCTTTCTTATCGATGCAATCTAATCAGTGAAGACAAACCGTCCTTTGTGAATTATAAATTGCACAAAAGTCTAGAAAGAAAAATTGATGTATTTTTTTTTTTATTAGCAGAGACTGTCTGACTGTTGGGTAAGCTGTGTACTAATTATGTTTGGAAACTCTGGACCAGTTTCTTTCATGGAAAAGTACCTACACAGATCACCGTGTCACAGCAAACATTCAGCTATTTCTTGACATATAATCCATGTCCCGAGGCAAATGCAATCTCATTCACCAATTCGTCCCAAAAATACTATTTTACCTCATCCGTGCATTCAAAAGAAAACGATACCAGCAAAGGACATGTCACCAAGCTTCAATATGATGTTTTTTTATCTTTCACTATGTATCACTTGTTTTGCCGACTTTTAGGAGAACCTTTCCAACTATGACCACTAGATCAACGACCATTCTAAGCCCTAAGACCTCGGTTCGACTGATGTTAATACACACTCATTGTGAGACGCTATTTCTGTCAAGGCAAACCTTAAGACGTCTTCCTGTGTACACCGAGCAATTCGATCCTCTTTCTTACATGTCGCCTTGTATACCGAGGTGGTGTAGGCACCGCCTTCTCTGTTTGTTTACGTCCATTCTTTAAGTGCAATAGAAAAGCGGCCATGAAAAGTCGTCCGTCACAAAAATAGACGACCTCACGTCCGCAGTGTTGTTTTAATGATAGGGATTAGGGGCACTTCTGTAGACTTTGTGTACAGTTAAGGAGTCTACTATTGTTAACTGTGTTGCCATTGGCCCGATATGCTGACAACGATTGTTAACTGTGTTGTCATTGGTCTGGGACGCTGACACTTATACGGTGTTTTGCTGTTCAAATTGCACAGACGTTAGAATGACACAATGCAAATAACAACGTTGAGAAGGGAATGCCAGTGTTACCAGAACAAATACGACCCAATACTAGTCATTTAGTACTCTGACAACAGACATATGCATGACCCTCTGTCACATTCCTTGTCGAAAACAACTGTTTGAATTCGGATACCGTGTTAAAAATCTGTATATTCTTTACCGTAATGACAGAAAATATGTATATTTTGTACCATATGTATATGCTTTTACAATAGAAGACATGACAATGAAAAAAGAACATGACCATACGTTACATAGTCTTCCATTTTTCACTTGTGTCGCGAAATATCGTATACATTTAGAGCGTAGTTTGGCATAGACTATGGCATAGTCACCACTTGTTATAAAGACATTCAGCTAAATAAAGGCACAAGCTGTAAGCATGGTACTACGGCTTTATGGGTCTTAAATCTGTGAAAAAAATAAGTTCACAATGCCCAGGGTCTTGTGTTGTATTGGTAGTATGATATTTGAATAAGCAGCAAAAGAAGGGAAGTAATCAAATGAATATTTCACAAAAATGCAACATTTTTAATGCATTAAATTACATAAAGACATCATCAACACACATGAGTTTGGACAACATAATATTAATTTCACCATGCTCGGAAAACATTCTATCACTTCCATGCTATTTTTTCCTTTCTTCTCGTTTAAAAAGAAAAGTCAAAATTGACAGTAGAAAAGGAATGTATTACGTTAGCCTGGTATCCAGTCTATCGTAGTTGGGACAGGCTGTCTTCAGGGCTGTAATAGTTCTCCCCCGTCCAGCTCAACAGACCACCCGTAGGAGTGTTACGCCTGTAGCAGTTTTGCCTGTCGTGCAAAACCTACCGGGAACCTATCTGAGTCGGGCGGGGAAGAACTCTTGCAGCCCCGAAGAGAACCCGCCTCAACCACGATAGACTGGGTACCAAGTTTGCATTATGTTAGCCTGGATGTCAGACCCATAGCGCCTTGGACACAAAGTATCTCAGTGAGCCGGTTTATCTCATCTGCTGGTGGCCACTGTTGAAGATTCAAAGATACAGCTGGGAGGTTTTAACTAATCATAGGAGAGGTGTCAAGTTGCTTCCTGCTTCTCCATTGGTGGGGCCTTATGCTCAAATACTGAGCGTTCGACTGACAGGTCCATGTCACCCTACCAGACCCCTGCACACAGGATAACTTGCTAGACAGTGTGGAGTGTGCTATAGGTATGGATACCAGGCTACGTTATGTGTGATAATTAATGTGTTTGTCTGTGTTATCAGGCCGGCTCTTGGCGTGGCCGATTACGATAAGACGTTAGGCTTGTTGATTCACCTGTGACGTCACAGCCGATACAAGTAACCTATGGTATTCAGTCTATCGTGAGGGCCTGCAAGCCCTTTTTCGTAAGGCGTAATCAGGCCGTTTTAGACTTCGTAATTCGTAGGCAGCCTCCGCAAAAATCAACGTAATTCGTAATTGGACATTAGCCGCAAATCGTTAAGTCGTAATCAGCTCTGAGACTTTAACGTAATTCGTAATAGGCGGCGAAAATTTTGCGTAATTCGTAATCACTAACCCCCCCCCCCCCTTGCAGGCCCTCTATCGCGGTTGGGGCGGGTTTTCTTCGTGTCTGCAGGAGCCCTTCCCCGCCCACCTGAGCTAGGTTCCCCGGTAGGTGGGGGATTTACGTATGTGACAGGCTCTGTAATTCTGATTTTGAGTTGATATTGTTCAACGTATTTTGAATTGTTAAGATTAGGTATTACTCCTATGTTCGATTTTGTGTTTTATGTTGTACAATTGTAACGTTTTGTTGATTCATCTGTTGGATGTGGAGCCAGGGCCCCCTTGGAAATCAGTTGTTTATCAACTGAAGGGGCGACCCTCAAGATTAATAAATAAATAAAATTGACTAGCCCCACCACCAATCTCCTATCGTGAACAACTCCTACAGGGTGGTCTGTTGAGCTGGACGGAGAGAAACTATGGCCAACTATTAGAGCCCAGAAGACAACCTGCCCCAACCACGATAGACTAGATACCAGGCTAACAAAACTTCTACCGGGGAGTCTAGTTGAACTTAGGGGGTGGGAAACTAATGTAGTCCCGAAGAGAGCCCGACCAAAAAGCGGCAGACTGCATGGATACCAAGCTAGGTGAGGATTACAAACAAGCAAAACATGTCAATCTTTCTAACAGTCGTTCTCAAAACAGGCGTGATTGAGACAAACAAAATTTGTTGAACAAATATAAATTGAAAAAAAAACGTGAGTGTGTCTCCACCAGGTCTTGTGATTACATGTTGGAATATAAAAAGATTGTTTGACGTACCACTTTTACACCTTCTCAAATTTAATACTTGGTACAGAGACCTTTAATAATAACCCATACGTTATCAATCACTGTCATCTTTCAAGGTTCACGCACATCAACATCAATTAAGGAGGATACTGTCCAGGCGACAGTAGACGATTATACAACTTAAAGGTCCCTGCATACCTCAACTCAAAATCAGAAAAAAAGTTTTTAAAATGAGATAGCTCGCTTTCAGGAACACAATTATACAAGAAAATCCAACAGTAACTAGACAGGTGACATATAATAAAATATTTGCAAAGCAAATGCATAATGTTTACGTTCAAATGGTCTAGCCTAACAAACTACTACTCTGTTTATCCTTATGCGATGACCAGCCCTTCCAGCTTGCAACATAATGTAACCCAACACCACTGTGTGTCTACCATCCGTCTGGTCCAGATCATTGGCCCTTAAAAAAAAGAGTATAAAGAATTAGAAACAGAGCAAACACAATGTTTCAAAGTCATTAGTAAGATATTACTGCATTATTTTTTTCTGTTTATTCATAGCCAGAATTTACCAGACCTTGCAACGTACAATAAAGGTAATTCATTCTTTCATCCATCTTTCATCATATGTTTCCTTTCGAATAATTCATTGACATCCATAAGCTATGTTACATTGCTCAGCTGAACCCCCCTTGCAGACCCTCTTGAAATAATGCTGCATGGGCGTTATCAATATTACATGCATCCTTTACAGTGTTGAAATATACGAATAACGCCTCTTTCATGCAGACAAGCCATTATCAGAATTGATAGTGACAAAATACGACCATGTTTGTCATTCGTCTTTTACATCAACAGTAACTTTGACGTTCTTTATGAAAGAACCTTTCACGTCTTCTCACGAAACGCGCGAAGTGAAAATTTCTCAGGGGATTGAATCGGCGTGTTGAAAATGTCAACTGGCTTTCTTTCACCTCCTGGGATTGAATCTGCGTACTGCAAATGTCAACTGATTTTCTTTCACACTATTATAAGAAACTGAAGAACCCTTCAGTCTTTGTGAGGAATACACACGGGACCAAGTCTTCCAAAGCGTTTGGACAGAGGATGAAAATAGTTTCTGACAGCTTTGTTTTAGTGAGCTAGACAAGACAAAGCAGCTGTAATGTCGACAAATGTCGTTTGGCTCTTATTTCCATATTTGACTTTTGAGGAAGGATAACTTGATGAGGGGAAACGTTTGATCCGTTTACAGAGCAGCCTCTACCAGGCATCGGGTGCGGCAAAATGTACGCTCTTGTGGGCCAACTCCCCTGGCATGTTATTTGACCAATTTCTACTCTTTCTGTCCGCCTCGTCTGATTGCTAGTCTGCTATAAAAGAAGTGTGATTCGTAAGCCTGGTAGAGGCTTTTTACAGAGTGCAACAAGTGCAAAGACGCTATTGGAAAAATATCGTTAAGTTAGAATAGATATCACAAGAAAAAAAGTTGATGACATCCAAGTACATGTGCATTGTAGCTGGCAACGAAGTGTCCCTTTATAATGTTAAGTTATAATCTGACATGGAACATTGTATTTTCCAAGAATGACAATGTATTTTCTAGCAGAGAAAGCTTTGGTGACCCTTTTGATGTCCCCTTCCCTGTGGGACGTCGACGTTGATGCATCACGTACTATAACCACCTATCAAACTCTGCACACCTGGTTCGTATAGCTCTATTGAAGTTGCCGACTGTTTTGGCGTTATGTCACTTCATGTTACTTCATGATAATTTACACAAATGTGATTTCATAATCGTCCCAAAAATATACATTTGCTGCTGTTTGTGTGTATACATGTATGTGTATGTGTGCATATGCGCGCGCCTGTGTGTGTGTCTCAGCCTGTGTGTCTACGTGTGTGTATACGTATTTCTTAGATCTTAAGTTGAAGAAGACCATACAAAATTCCCTGTACTTTTCGTTGTGTCAATAAAGAATCATTATCGTACTGGTATACAATACACAGGCCCCATTCCCACTAAGGTAAAATTGTCCGGACCGAGCCGAATCGATCCGCCTTCGAGCAGAATCGAGCCGGACCGAAGCCGGATCAAAGCGTATCAATTCGGCTAGATCCGGACAATATTACCTTTAATAGTGGGAATGGGCCAAAGCGCTGGAGTATGTGTGTAGCGCTGTATCCAGAACCATCTGTTTCAGGTTTTCCCCCGTCTCGACATGTGGATCTCGGTTGATCGATAACACCTGTGACGCCCAGATCCAACCAGGATATGTCCACAACTTCTTACCACTCACAAACACGAGGCCTGTTGGTCTAGGGGTATGATTCTCGCTTTGGGTGCGAGAGGTCCCGGGTTCAAATCCCGGACAGGCCCTTTATTTTTGTTAAAACAAATAAATTTATTGCACTAATTCTATTAGCTGTGCAAACAACACAGAACAGATTACTAGTGTAGCATTTTTGGTACATAGTTGTTGCTGCACATTGTATCCTGTCAACGGTTGTCAGGCAATAAACGTCATCATACCTATTGTTACTAAGATATGAATCCCTCATTTAATACAGCGTTATCATAGCACGTCGGCAGAACGTACTGCGCCTGCGCAGAACCCCGTATTTTCGCGTTTTCGTTGGGTTTTTGGTCAACTTTGCATCAGAATTTTGCTTGTTGCAGAGGATATTCTTTCCGACACAACATTTGGAAACTACTGTCGAAATGCTTACCTTATATGAGCGAATACAACCTTATATGATACGTTCTGCCGAAATGCTATGCACAATACATTACGGGTTTCGCGCAGGTGCAGTGCGTTCTGCCGACGTGCTCGTTATCATGCATTAATGTTCCCCCAGGACAAGTAAAAGACGTCCCGGGTCATCCTTTCAGTTGGAAGGTCCCGCCGACATCCATCCGTTTTAGACTGAAATGAACACGAACAATAGGCAAAGGTTTAGTTAAATCTCACTCTAATCCCTTGTCAGTCCAGTCACATAAAACGAACGTAAAAGAGCGTATTAAAGAGAGACTTTTACAAAGAAAAGAGTGCAAGAAACAAAACACAGTTGCTGAGCAACTTTTTCATGTGCCCTTGGGAAAGGCACTTTACACGACTTTCCTCACTTCGCTCAGGTGTAAATGAGCATTGTACTGTCCCTGTGTTGGTGGCGGCATTAATATAAGTTTTAAAAAACTTGAGTGTGCCGTCACCACGTCTTGTGATTGCATGTTTCGGAATATATGAAAAAAAAAACTTTTTCATGAACGATTGAACATCTGTACAATGTGTTTGGGTAAGGATTCGTCCTATAGTCTACCAGCTCGCTGAAGGGAATAAATGAGTACGCATGCAGTATTAGTTTAAAGTCTCCACCAGACCCCTTTGCAGGCTGAATAAATACTAGTAGTAGAAATCGTTAAATGGTCCAGTTTGCCTGCATGGTCGGCTAACTCTCCTGGCCAGCTACATTATGTCTAGACCGTTTTGTACTATTTATTCACCCTGCAAAGGAGTCTGGTGGAGAATACCTTGTCAGCACTTCAGGCAACGCGTTGCAATTTATACACATAACATGTACAGCATTAAACCTGTGAAACAGCTCCAGCCATAACAACAGCGCCCCCAAACGGAGAACGTGGGCATGGCAGAATAATACTATAGTATTGATGATCATGAGTCATCGGAAGCTGACCTTTTGATACCCTTTGAAACAATGGGGTGGATTAACTTCCCCTTGGGAAACTACAGTTTCTAAGCAATAAAGCTGGTTCTATGACTAATAAGCTGATGATCCCACATTATCATAATGAGTAATCACTTCATCATCAATTTCCAAACCCACATTGATGTGAAACAATAACATCATCTTTATATGGTGGCATTTATACCGACTTTACAAATACAGATACCAATAAAATGTATTGTTCTTCGGGATGCCTAAGAGATTAAATTTGAGCAAGATTAATGCTATTTGCTGTCGTAATAGTTTGTTTTACCTTATTTTCACTTTTCAAATCTTTGATGCAAAACTATTCCTTCGAAGGCAATGTTTTGTCTGTAAGGTGGGTGGTTTCTATTGTGTATGTACAGTGTGACCACAAGTTCCTTCTTTCGCAAATTGAATCTATCATGTATGCCACCCACTGCTGTAGCATGAATGATATTGTGTGGACACATACGATAAAACCTTTTGAACTACATAATATCTAAATATAGAAACCTTTTGTGAAACCAACAAAACCAAACTGGGGCATCATCATCGATCAAGCAAAAGTCATTTTCGCTAGGATCAATGCAGGGAAAGATGGCAACATTTGTGTGTGCCCTTCTTCTAATTTTGGCGCTCACGTTTCAAGACTTTTCCGGCTCTGTAGAAGGAAGAGTGCAGCTGAATCTCACAAGGAATTTCACCGTTCGTGAAGACGCCTTGCCTGGTACGGTGGTGGGAGTGGTGCTACTGTCGCCATCTTGTTCACAAACAGAGGGACGCCGAAGTGCCAAGATTACAGCAGGTGATCAGTACCAACGTTTTCGCATTGCTAACTCAAGTTGTGAAGCCGCTCTAGTCGTAAACAACCCGCTGGATCGGTCAATACAGGCTCAGTACGACTTGGTAGTGAGTTTGACGGTCCAAAATGGCGCCTATTTGTTTACCAAGTACATCGAAGTGACTGTAACAGTTTCAGACGTGGTTGACTACCCACCCTTGTATAACCCGGCGTGCGAGATTCCGGTCCGAAAAAACACTGACCGTGACCAATACTTTCTTAATTTTGCTGGAAAAGTTACCATCGACGCGTATTCAGGTGGACCTGTGGGTTTTGACAACTCAAAAATAAGTCAAAATTCAATTCCAGAATATTACATCAGATCGGACAGTAAGAATTGTCTTGTGTTGGTGGGTTTGGGGGCGCATCATTACACTGACGTTGGCATTGTCCATAATATTTATAACATTGAATCCGAGGGATTTAGGTACACAACGTGCACTTGGCCTGGTAATACTGGTGTCCCCCTCAAAATACACCTGATTAAGAAGCCTGACACATTTCAGCCATTTCCCCAGTGGAGCCATGACGAGACACCTCCGCTTGATGTAATACCGGATGTCGTACCTGCTTGGAACGCGAAACCTAAAGCAAAGTTTTTCCTCTTTTTCTACATCCCAGTCTCAATGAGTGGCCCGGTAAATCTAACCTGCGAGCTTGGGGTCCTAAAAACACACAAGTGGTTTGGACTCCACGCTATTTCTTCTGTAACGTTGGAACTGGAAGTCTTAGGATGCGAGGAAGGAAAGTTTGGAGCTCTGTGCGACCAAGACTGTGTCTGTAAGAACGGAGCACGCTGTCATGGACTAAACGGTGCCTGTAAGTGCGCGCTAGGATGGCAAGGAGTCGCTTGTGACATCCCAAAACCGACTGTGGCAGTCAAAATGTCGTCGAAATTCCCGAACAACGTCGCTTACATCGGTGGTAAACTATCACTATCGTGCATGACCTTTCATCTAAACGTTACCCAAGTTCGATGGGAATTTAAGCCCCTTTTCATCCGTCAAAACAAAACAAATATCTGGCCAAGTTCAAACAGCACAGTGATCAAAATTGGCTCTGTTTCCACCGAAGACAATGGGTTTTACACATGCACCGTCGTGGCAGAAGAAGAAAAGACTTTTCAGGACAGTTTCTTGCTGAATGTTACAGACTGTCCACCGAATAGAAAGGGAGTCTTCTGTAACGAAACGTGCGCCTGTTTACAAGGAGCTACCTGTGACCGATGGACAGGCTGCGAGTGCCCGGTGGGGTGGGAGGGGGGCCACTGTGAACTCAAGTGCCCCGATGGCACATACGGGAAAGACTGCGCCCACAAATGTGACTGTGACGACACTGCAACAACCTGTCACCACGCCACAGGGCAGTGTGTCTGCGTGGGAAGGACTGCAGCCGACTGTGAAGAACCTTGCCCTTGGGGGACGTACGGCCCGAGATGTGAGAAATCTTGCGAATGCAGAACCAACGCTTCCTGTGACGTCATGACCGGGCGATGCCACTGCGGGCCGGGTTTGGCGGGAAAATTCTGCGAGAAAGAGAAATTCGGCGGTAACAAGTTCAACGGCACAATTCGGACTGACATCGCAGTAACACTGAGTATTCTTGCCACCTTCTTTGCCGTATTCATCGCCAGACAGAGGTTTTGGCAGAGATTTTATCGTGCTGGGAACAAGCAGCAATTCTTTGAAGGCAACCTTGAAGAGCTAGTGACGACAGACGACTTTGAGCAGCGGCTACTGCGTTGGGAGAAAGATCCTCGGATGTTAGATCTAGCAGAGATGGTAGGTCAAGGAAAATTCGGACATGTGCTACGAGGAACCTTCAGAAATTCAAACGGAAGCGTGTCGGAAGTAGCGGCTAAAACAGTTCACCAAAAAGACCTGCAGGCTCACCGAGCTTTCTACCATGAGATGACCATCCTCATCACCATACAAGAGGGCTTGGGGACGCCAGCTCGCTGCACAAATATCATCCAACTTCGCGGGATTGTAACTAAGTCAGATCCGAAGTATATCCTCATAGAGTACGCTGACAGAGGAGACTTATTATCTGCTTTGCGACAGGCGCGAAATCGTGATGATCATCATGAGCCGAACTTCTGGGGACTTGCCGTGGACGTTGCTCGAGCGCTCGCCTTTCTCCAGGAGCTGAAGCTCGTGCACCGAGACGTCGCAGCTCGCAACGTCCTCATCTCGGCAAACGGGGAAGGTAAACTTGCCGACTTCGGGCTTTCCCGGGACATATACACCGATAGTATCTACACACAGGAGGCAGATAACCCGATACAGATCAACCATCTGCCGCTGAAGTGGATGGCGCTGGAATCGTTGAGGGATGGAGAGTTCACACACAAGACAGACGTGTGGGCTTACGGGGTGCTGCTATGGGAGATCGCGACAATGGGAAACGAACCCGTGTACCCTGGTCCTCTCAGACCTGATTGCCACCATCTCATCCAGCTGTTGGAGAAAGGCTGTCGTTTGCGGATCCCCCACGGTTGCTCTGTGGACATGTACCGCCTGATGTTGAGATGTTGGAATGCCGACCATGACCGGAGACCAGAGCCACAAGATCTGATCAAGGCTGTCCAACTGCACGGAAACGTGCAAACAGAGTGGGTGGAGAAAGAAACCACTGTATAGGTGATCACAGTCATGAGAAACTACAGCGGTCAGAAATCGTTCTATGTGGAGATGAGGTACCCTCTACCAGGCTTTGGGAGGCGGCTGGAAAGAGTAGAAATTGGCCGAATAGAGAGATAACATGTCCGTAGAAGTTGGTCCGCTAGAGAGTAATATTATATTTTGCCGCACCCAAACTGTACTTTCTAGCGGACCAACTCCCTCGGCATGTTATCTCTCTATTTGATTAATTTCTACTCTTTCCAGCCGACTCCCGAGGCCTGGTAGAGGCTAAAGATGTAGTTCCGTTTGCAACAACAGGACACAACCAGTAGACATATCTTTCACTTCCATGCTTACATGTAGTACAATTGCACAAACGCATAGATTGTACGATACTAAGTACCATATTCTAACCATTAAAACAAAGTAAGATACCGTTTTGGAACGTACACTATGTAAGGTATACACGAAAGCTGTATTACTCTGATAAGTTACAAAGTCTAATACTTTTCTCGTAGTCGTCAAAGTGTAGATGTACGTTTTGGTAAATATACTCTTGGTGAGATTTAGTGAAAAAATAGTCAAAAGTCACGAAAGCTAAAAAAGCTTTTAGTTTATTTAGTTACGGAATTGATTGTGAAGAAAATGACAATGTATAAACAATGTACAGTATATATAGGGCTTAACATAGATAGTCTAGTACTGTGTCGTATACATGTAAAGTTATGTACATAAGTGAAGATGGTGACAACATATATAGTGATCATACAAAACATTCATTTAACATGTACTTAAGACAAGTAAACTCAAAACATTCACAGTAATGAAATAAATACAAATCAGCTTGATGATATAAATCGTTTGTGCTAATAAAGTTTGTTCGCTGATTGTCCGCTCTTTAAGATTTAATTACAAGTGTATTGTTACATCATCGGTGAATTATTGTTAGACACAACATCATATTTTTAATGTACACCATAGACTTCCCAAGAAAATATAAACAGCTCCATTTAATTATCTGTTGAATATGACAATTTTTTTACACCAACTTGAGATAAATTACTTTACAGAAATATTTCTCCGTTTCTATGTGACAGTTCTTCTGAGGTAATACTTTCAGGCGTGCTGACTGTGGTTACGACTTCGCCATTATATGCCATGGCACAAGACTGTGTGCTCTTTTTACTAGGTTTATACAGCCACAACGCGAGGCCCATACACGTCGTGGAGAAAATCTTCAGCACCAGAACGATGATGAAGAAATAGAGGCTCATGGTGGAATTCTCGTAGACCCAACATGCACCGCGGTCGCTGACGTCACACGTGTCGTCACTGCTGACGTCACCTTGCCACAGAAGGCAGGTTCTGTCAATGGCGGCTCCCATTAGGATGGGTCCGGGAACGGAACCTGCAATATAGAAAAGTTTTATTTTATAAAGAAAAAAAAACTAGAAAGGTATCATTTGCAAAGCAGATGCACGATGTCTACCTTCGCATATGGTCTGCTCTGTTAATTATTACTCAAACACATTTATATATATGGTGACAGGAGTCTAAATCCCTCCTGCTATAAAATTGCAGCATGATGTAACCCAGCACCAGTTACCATGATGACAGACGTCTGGTTCAGGTCATTGACCTTATATGTTTGGAGAAGAAGAAGAGGAAACAGAGCAAAAACAATATGTAAAAAAGGTAAAGTATGGAATATATTTTCCACAATAACTTTGGTGCTGAATATTCTAATGATGAATTCAATGGTTGGCGGAGCGAGGACAGAGCTTACTTACCAAGAAGTCGGATGAACATCCACTGTAGACCAAACGCAAAGGATGCCTGGTGTTCAGGAACACACCTGCGAATATACATTATGTTATCAATCATACCGAGGAAATATGTTTTGCCTTGGCCATGAAGCTACACTGAGGTAAAGCAGTTGAAATTCGTGTCCAGACTCCAGTTGCATCAGCTGGTATATGCTCGTATTCTTAAAGCTCGTATACGGCAAAATAGCCCGGATATGAGTGCATCCGAACCTATTTTGTCCATGGCCATTGAAACATGATCTGTATCTTATACTATCATGAAAGTTCATCTGTGTTGGTAGTTACATGTACGTCACACTTCAAAGAAGCCACGTGACAAGCTTCACATGGTCAGTCTACTGAAGACCAGAGTGACTGGTCGAAAGCTCTAGGTGAGAAAATTTTTTGTGTTGGACCAAAAGTTGTAACTTTAAACATGACCTGTATCTTGTTTGTTAGTAAGTATCTGATCGACGTCAGTTTTCCTACGCTTTTGAGTTCATTTCTAATGCATAGTGCATATTGTATACATGCATATTGGGTACAAAAAAAAAGCCACATTGGCATGAATTCCATTTCACTTTCATTTTCTTTCATTTCATTTATCGGAGTTGCAACAGTGCATGACAGGTGGTAGCCAGGCAGCAGCAAGGCTGGTAGCGGCTACCACTGATACATACAGTATAACACAAATCATGACAATATACAAGACCTACGATAAAATATCAATATATACAATAGCAATACACTCGAATACGATAAAGGACTTAGAAAGTACGGTATTCATCTACTATTTAAACAATACCACCAAAAGACATACCTGAGTGTAACTGCGGCGGCTGGTACCGTCAGACCGGAAACCACCACCATGATGACGACCAACAGCGGAAGGAACACCATCAGGAGACCGCAGGTCGAACCGCAGCGGCCTGACGTCACTTCCGGATCCGGCGGTGTGTACCCAGGAGACACCGCGGCGACAGTGTTGGAGGCAGAGGAGTTTGTTGTGACGCATGCGCAGTTGCTAAAAGTCTGAAAATAGGATGTCAATTTATGAGATTAATGTCTAAAATAAATATGTTGCGATATCGTATGTCCTAAAATAAATGTAAATATCAAACTTGTGTCTGAGGAGAAACCAAATAGGATCAGTCGTCTATGTACCAATATAGACTAAAGGCCAATGTAGAAAAAACATTCACAATGTACAAAATACAAATATTTACACGTATACGTATCATACATATACTTTATTTGACATCAAAAAAAGTTTAGAGAAAAGGAATACATAATCATTTCAGCTCCAATACATATTATACTTTACAACGAGTTAAAAGGCGCACAATCCAACTACAAGTGGGCTCTGATAGTCTCCACCAGACTTCTTTTGCGGGGTGAATAAATCGTAGAAATCGGCCTAAAAAGGGTATTAATTGGCCAGAGAAGGTAGCCGGCCGGAGAAGCTCCAGCTCCCCGCCTTCTCTGGCCAATTGATACCCTTTTTAGGCCGATTTCTGCGATTTATTCACCCCGCAAAAGAAGTCTGGTGGAGAGTCTAGGGCTCTGAAAAAGAACAGCAAATTCGGACTGATTCGGGTACCTTCGGCTCCCCTTCGTGCCTTGTCGTGCACCCGGCGTGACACGACGACAGGTACTCCAGTCCGTCGGAACCGCACACCACGTCGAACACAGCTGGGCATGCGCAGGCGGCGTTACAGCTGGCGTTCAGCGACGACCCTGGTCCAGACGCCTGTGACGTGGCTCTGAGGAAATGTAGCAGTTGGGCTTGATAAGATAGATTGTGCTTTTTCTATTAAGCCACACCAAGTAAATTTTATGGATGACGTCCGCGCGCGCATTGATTTTGGCCTGTTCCTAGAAAAAACCCCAAGAAATTCCGCTTCCTGTAACCATGACCAAAGAGTCACGACAGTGCCGCAAATCGTCAGATTGACGTGAAACCCGTAACGCGAAAACAGGACAGGATGACAACTGCTGTTCCACCTGATTTATTGTTGTTTTTATGATGAATAAAAGACTTCTTGCTTGTTACACTGTGTCACCTCATTCAATTTGTGTCCTAACATTTGTCATCTCTTAGTATATTTCTAATCTAGGCATCTTGTTTTTAGGGCCCTTCTTGTTTTTTTTCGCCCTCTCGCATTAGATTTAGGGTCTCCAAAGGACGTCATCCATAAAATTTACTTGGTGTGGCCTTAAGTTAAGATGGTGCTTTTTTTATCCTTATATCCTATGTATTATGTTACTCAGTATGATATACATGTTACCATACACCCATGGGCATGAACATGCAAATAAAGATCCATTAAGTATATTCGAGAAAAGGATAAATTGCAAGAAAGAAATTGTCTTACTAGAACTAAAGCCGAGAAAGAAAATGTCTCAATCAAACTAAAGGAAAGGATATGTCTCACTAAACCCTAAGGAAATGTTTCACGAAAAAAGAAATAAGAAACTTAAGAAAATAAGTAAAAATTACATTATAAGTAGTGCCATTTTGACAACGTACCCAGTAGTATAAGACGCGGTCACTCCTGCGAACTGACTGTTGGGACATCTGATGAGGAACACAGGTGCCAGGAGCATGGCTATGGAGGACAGGATGACGCAGAGCTTGAGCGATCCGGACACATCCAGCTTCTTACACCGCATGATAGCGCCGCCTATCAGACAACCGCCGAATGCACCCGGGACCATCACACAACCTGTGGAAAGGGAGAGAAAACAATGAAACGAACTAGAAAGGTAACATTCGCAAAGCAAATGCATATTAATGTTTACCTTCGCATATGGTCTGCTCTGTTAATTCTTACTTAAACACACTCATATATTTATGGTGACAGGAGTCCAAATCCCTCCTGCTATAAAATTACAACATGATGTAACCCAACACCAGTTACCATGGTGATAGACGTCTGGTGCAGGTTATTGACTTTATTTGTTTGGAGAAGAAGAGGAAGAAAAAAAACATGTTTTCCTTTTGCGAAGGTAAACATAATAAAACAAACAAACAAACAAACGAATAAGCATACATGTATATGCATGACTACTAGCATAAGCTATAATGGTAGGATTTGTGTTTTCAATGCTCATCCATGATCCATATCTTGTTTAGGACTGAAATGAAAGATGACAATCATTGAACTGGCAAGGGCACAACTTTTCTATTCTGTTACCCGTCGAAACTTACCGACGAGAAACGCGGCCTGACTGGCCGTTTGTCCGAACTGGTTTTCCACAAACTTCGGTAGGAACGTAGCGAAGCCGTTCAGCGCGAGACCCTCGCTAATTCCCGCGAGAGTGATAAAAATGAACGTTGGATTCTTGGCCAATGAGCGCACGGCGACGGGAAAGTCCCGGATGCTCTTGCCGAAGTTTGAATCCAGAGTTTTTGACTCGGTGTTGGCGTGGACGTCAGAAGTCTTCTCCCTACGTACTTTGGCGATGCCTAGGACAACAAGGAAACAGGTATGTTAGTGGTAATGATACATATTACTAAAACCTAACACGAAATTTTGGGAAAAAAGGTCAGAAGATGTCATATTAGCTGAGAAAAGACCTAAGAGCAGACATGAACAGTATGTTTTACAGAACTTTCTCAAACTATATACTAGTGGTAGATGCTACGGCAAGGTTTGAGACAGATGACTGACTAACATTTCCAAAACACACACATATACGTGTGTGCAACGCACCAGAACACAAGTACCAGAGCGGCTAAAACAAGGCACAAAGGAGAGAATGGCACCAAGAGTCCACGTCTAGCGGAAAAATACACAAAGCAAGGACAACCGAAACAAGCAATAGACATCTTCCCTCCATGAACGAGGTTGGTGTTGTTAGGGTTCTTTTTTATGTTATCGCATGTGTTGATTGTTAAAACATGACAGCTGGGTTTAAATTTAATTGGACGTTATATGGCCATGAATAATGAGGGAGTTGCTTTGTGTTGGTACAATTTTAATTTTTATCATGTAAGTACCAACCCAGATAAACTTTCAAGCGAGTTTTACAGTGGCCTCCTGTCGGCTTCACAGACCACCAGAAGTGACATGCAGACTATCACCATGAATAGTGGTATTTCCTAATAGCCTGAGAGACATTTGTTTTCCTGGTGGTAGGAGTGCAAGGAGTCAAGTTACGAATGCACAACACCCAAGCTCCCTGTCTAAACCTAACCCCACAGGTCGCAAGTCCTTATCTATGGCAGCAAATAATCAATAAGAAATGCACAGCATACCTTGCAGAATAAGCTACACTACATATCTACAACCACCAACTATTATGGACACTAAAACACAGAAACTAAAAAAATACCACGAACCAAAGATAATCATAATCAATCCTGCAGAGGTGAGGTCATTGACCTCTCAATCACAACACAAACAAACCACCCCATTAGCAAGGCCAGCAGGTCAATGACCCAAAAACCAGACCAAAGAAATATATAGCCTGTCAAACAGGAGGTAAAAATAGATACACTGCCATGTACCAACTGGGGTAAACACAGAACACACTACTATAAAATAGGGGTGATAATGTAGAAATCCTTTTAAATTAAGCAATACAAATATACGACAACCTGCTAATGCACTCTAAAACACAAAGAGACTCAACAACTACCCACATACCAAAAATTATACCAAACCATCCACCAGATTTTCCAAACATTCAACACAAAAAGACCAACGTTAAACATATTGTAAATATCAAACGCAAACAGCTAGGAAGCCCAAATTTAAACCACTAAACCATGGTAATAACAACTACATGCTACCTTAATATCGCACAAACAGTCCATAACGCGCAAACAACAGAATAAAAAAATTAAACTGCAGTACCAAGGTCAATCACCAGGGGCTCAAAGTCAACCTACACAATCTCCAAGGCCCCATCCATCAATCTGCCAAATATCGTACAGTTCCTTCTCACCGATCTTCAGATATCAGACCAAACATGAAACGGAGTAAAAACAGTACCCCCATTTTCATGGAGGGTAAAAACAAACAAGCAAACAAATGTTTATTTCTCACCGGGTAGTTCCTTTGGGTAGCCGGACAGAGGCAGCACCAGAAGCCAGGCAGTGACCCCCAGCCCCAGGAATCCGAGCCACCAGGCGCCCAGCCAACGCGGGTCGCTCGTTCCACCAACAGGCCTATGTGGACAGAAAACATTCGTCAAAACTAGAAAGGTAACATTTGTAAAGCAAATGCATAATGTCTACTTTCGCATATGGTATGGTCTGTACTGTTAATTCTTACTAAAACACATTCATATATATGGTCAGACAGGAGTCTAAATCCCTCCTGCTATAGAATTGCAACATGATGTAACCCAACATTAGTTACCATGGTGACAGACGACTGGTTCAGGTCCTTGACCTTATTTATTTGGAGAGGAAGAAGAAACTGAGCTAACCTCCTTGATCAAAGACAGGGTATTAAATTCAATGTGATCAAATCAAATATAATAATTAGAAAAAAAGTAAGAGATGAAATAGAAGTATGTAGAAACATATAATATTGTACTCTCTAAGGTTTCATACTTACGGAATGACTCCGGGTTTTTCCAAGTCGATATAGAGAGTCAGTAGCTGTCCGCCCAGCAGAAAACCGACGGCAGGTCCGAGGTACGAAACGGCGTAGAAAATCCCTAGGGAAGGAAAAAGCAAGAACATTTCACGATCCCCACGTGCATAAGCACATAAAGCCGATAGAGCATAAAGCACATAGAAAGAATCAACAAACTTTAGGAGAGAGGAAGAGAAATTATGAACATTGATAGTGCAAAATTGTGAGAATTTATTTATTTATTTAATCTTCAGGCACCTGGGTGGCCTAGTTCAATTTTGACAAATTGATTTTCAATAGGGCCCAGTACAAAATACAATAAAATCAGAGATACAAACAAAGACCGATATGAACAAATGACAGCGATTATCAAATCTATTTTGAGGCATGTAGCATAAGACCTTGTAGGTCTATTGATGTAAAACATACAACATATCAATTTTATAATGTCGACATTTATTTACCCAGGTAAATTCCGGATGATTTGGTTGACACGCTTTGCTCCAGGTACTGAGGACCGAATGTGTAGAGAGGGATGCCGCCTACTCCATTCAACAACTGGCCTGGATCAGGGAGAAACATAAACCAGTATCATTGTTAAACAGGTTCAATTGTATTCAAATGTTCCTTCTTGACTGTTGTTGATGATGATGACGATAAATTCCAAAACGTTTTTCCAATTTTATATAGCTTTAAACACTGAGGAAGGATGATATACTGATACAGAAATACTAATACTAATCTAATAACGTTAGATCTAAAACTACTCTAATACAAAGGTTCAGCTTCTTCTCGTTTCTTTGTTTGTGATGTTAAAAACATGTAATTTGAAATGGATTTGTTTAATACAGAATGATCAAAGCGCATAAGAAAAATAATTTTTTTATGTTAGTAATAATAACATCCCAGTGATATTCTGTTTTCTTCAACTTGAAACTCACCGAGAATGAAGACATATAGGAAGTTAGGAAGCCAGTTCGACTCCCCTCCCTCCCCACTGCACACGCCGTCGTCAGAAGTCTCGTTAAGTCTCGCGGCGCCGCACGTGGTTTCCTGCGCGCCTCCCAGCCGGTGCGGCCCGACCACGAAGTGCGGGATGGAGAAGACGCATGCGCCCAGCCCCAGAACGAACGCCCCGGTGGCCAGCCAGATGGGCTTGCTCCTGACACCACCGTGATACGTGATGATCACCGACAAACAACCGAAAGCGATGTCGTAACCAGATGAGATGATTCCTGAATTTTTAGAATAAGGAGAGACAAAAAAATTAGAAAGACTAGTACTGTTTTTTTTTTACTTTTTCACAAAATAAACATAAACATACTAAAAACATAAAGTGAAACCATCCAAGTGAAAGTAAAGTAAAATGTAACAAAGAAAATAACTTAAAAGCAACTTATGGGTAAAATGATGATAGATTAATTAAAGAGTGTTCCAAGAACACATGGGGCAACGTCCTATCCAACAACTTTTGAAGTTTCACAACACACATATAATAGAATCGCCTGGACACTTGGTCTCACTGGACAAAGCAATAATCTTGGACACGAAACCAAACTTTTTTGCCCTCTACATCAGAGCATCGCATATTTTATTTTCATCATCAAAAACATTGTGGAAGCAATTATACAAACCCACCACCCCACAACAAAAGGTTATCAATATCGCAATATAATCAGATAACATATTCATATAATAAAGTTAAAACTTAACTTATAATGATAATGATAATGATGAAAAGTATTTTTTTTAATTTGTAACTTACCTGTTTTGGAGCTTGGAAGTTGGAACCTTTTCTCAATGGTGGATATTTTAATTTGTAACTTACCTGTTTTGGAGCTTGGAAGTTGGAACCTTTTCTCGATGGTGGATATTTTAATTTGTAACTTACCTGTTTTGGAGCTTGGAAGTTGGAACCTTTTCTCGATGGTGGATATGACGCTGTTGATCAGTCCGTTCACCAGAGTTCCCTGCACCAGCGCAAAAAACGACACGAAGAAGAGAAACCCTTTCGGGTTGTCGAACACCTGAAGACAAGAGGGTCTAAACCGGCGCCATCCGCACCTGGTCTCGGCTTGGTCCCCCTCTTCGTCAGAGAAGTCGCCAGCTCTCGAGTCTTGCCTGATGAACAGAAAACTTTTAATGTCGATGATATACCGAAATTGTACGTTTGGACAACCAAGGTGTATTTTTAAAGGTTGCGAAAA